CTATTTTCCTCACCAGGATGGTTTTACTCCTCTGCTTTAAGTGTGACAGAATCTGTCACTATCTCCTGGGTGTTTGTTTCTTTTTCAGATTTGGATGTCATCTCCCAACACAGTGACAGCTGTTTTTACAGTAAAAACACCTCTTCCTTCCCTTGTGTCTTCTCTCCCCAGAGCCAGGAGATGGGCAGCAGCCAGGAGAGATTAAAAACAAATTCTGGCTTGCTTTCAGCCCAGCTTCCAAGGACATGGCTCATCTGATCATGGGTTTGTGCGCGCACAGGTAACAGCATTGAGCTGCTGGTTTGAATTCGTTCCACGGCAAGAGTTTGTGAAGTCCCTGTGAGATTTAGGAAAACAAATACTTGGATGGAAGAGACTCTACTGAAGCCTTCACTGGGACTGAAGACAGCTCAGACTTTTTTTAAGGCTTCAGAGGATCCATGAGGATGAACGACGTCAAAGGACATTGTAAATGAGGCTTTGCTGTTCTGCTGCCCACAGCACATGGCGAGGGTGTCCTGGTGGCACTGGGAACTCAAAGCCACCACCCCGTGCCGTGGGTCAGTGTTCCTTGCTGGGAGTGGTGGCACATCCCTCTGCAAGCATCTCCCATCACTGCTGCCTTACAGCCACCCTCTGAAATCCTGCTGCTGCCCGGGGGGAGAGTTTCGGCTGGAAAAGTGCCACCCACCCCCGGGATTTCACATGAGCAAGTGGAAAAACGTTGTGCCATAGCCTGTATTTTGGGGAACCAGCCAAACAACAAAGGTGTGGGCATAGCACCAGGGCTCAATGAAGGTGCCAAACTTCTCTCAGGCACCAGGGTTCTCCTCACCCTGTGCCTCGCAAGTCCAAAGGTACTGCAGGAGCAACTGCACCAACGTGAGCACCTTGACATGACTCCATCTCCTATTCCAGGCAGATTTTTTGTATCTCATTCCAAGATTATTGGGCAAAAGCAATTTCTTTTGCAAGGAGCTGAAGGTGACATGACTCCATCTCCTATTCCAGGCAGACTTTTTGTATCTCATTCCAAGATTTCATTGCAATTTCTTTTGCAAGGAGCTGAAGAGATGTTTGTGCCAGTCCCAACCACAGCTGACAACAAGTCAGGAGTGAGCTCTACTGAGCTAAACACTGGTGAGTCCAGGGCAAGACCGTGCATTTAAACAAAAGTCAGACAATTCCAATGTGCCATCGCTGATTTGACTGAGGACACATCAAATTGCCCTTCCAATGGGGAGGAATGGCCTGAAGAAATGAAAAATATATTCATGCTTTTTATTCAGCAACTTGCCGGCCAAAGGGAACGTGGACTGGTTTTATGTAGATGACTGAGTTAGATTTTTGGGACTCTGATCCATGAATTTCATATGCTTTGGCTTTTGGTTCCCTCTAAAATTGTGGATCAGCATGGATTTCTGCAATATTCCCATGAGGGAATAGTGCAAAATCAGTTCATCCCAAGGCACAATGTCCTTACCCACATTTACTAAACGTATTCACAAGCTTAAATCTCAGCTGGCATTAAAGATGTGTTGCAGGACTGTACCTGGAGCTCCCAACATGTGACAATTCCCACCTGTTTAATAGGGGCTGACTGGGGAAGGGGCATCGGGATCCAGACCAGCATCAGATAGGGCACAGAACGATTAATTGATTGAGTTTGTGATTTTTTAAAACCTCATGGCAAACTGTAGACTGGAGTCCCATGGAATGGGGATGAAGGCATGTTGGGAAGGCTGTTAATGCACACACAGACCATCTGCCCCATCTTTGTAGGATACCCTGAGCATCCCTCTCATGTTCAAGTGACCCTAAATGACTTTACTAAATTGAGATAACAACCATGATCCTGTGCTTGCCTCCCTGACCCCTCAACATATCCTTTTCAGAAACCCTAAAGCTTTTAGGAAATTTGCCTCATTCTCAGGCCTGGGGCCGTACTGAATAAAGAGCTTGGGATTTATGTTCCCCTGGAATTAGGGATGTGAGAGTCATGCAGGAGAGCAATGAAGATATCTGAGAGAGGATGTGCTGGAGTGTCAGAAGCAGCCGTTCCAAGTCACCCACTGCTTAATACAGAAAGATAGATCTATTTTAAGAAGAGAAAAAAAGAGTGCACATAATAGGTTTCAGATGAGAAATAATTTGGGAGTGATAGTGAAAATGATATCACTCCTGCTGCACTTCAGTCCTGCCAAGCGTATTCTATAATTAATAACTACTTCAGATGAAGTGACTTCCTTTTGAATGTGCAGTATTAAACATTTAAATCCCTATCTGTAAATATAAGACTGTGGCAGATATCTCCATAAGCCTCGCAGCTACATGCTAATGTATATTTATATCCTAGATTGGTATTTTTAGCAAGAACTACAAGTTCTTTCTGTATTTGATTACATCAGAGCTCTATTTTACATTAAATGTCTGGACTACAAAAATATCCCCTCTTTTTTCCTTTTCTTGGAGTTTTGCTCCATTTCTGCCCTAGTGTCCTCTCTTTTTCTTTCATGCCCACCTGGATTAATACACCTTTGAAGAGGACTGCTTTTTTTTTTTTTTTCTTTTTCTTTCCTCTTTCCCTCTCAAAGAAGGCAAAATACATACAATTCAAAGAAATCAAGCAGAAAACACCAGCTCCTGGTGTTTCCCACCTTGCATCCCGAGACAGCCTGTAATCAGGGCATACCAGGATAACTACCACCACTTGTGGCTACACATGATGTGACCAGTCTCCTGCTGTGGAAAGTAACTGCAAATGATCCCTGCTGGAAACCCCAGTCCTTCTAAGTGTTAATCATGCTGTTCGTGTAGCTTTGCTCTCCCACAACATCAGTGATGCCTTTGCAGGAATCTTGCCCAAGTCAAAGCAGCATGAATGAGCCTGGGTCCTGATTCAACCCAAGCCAAGGCTGGTTGTACACTGTGTTTCCAGAGGAAAAACCATACTTTGAAATGTCAGCTCCACCTTAAAGACTCGTGGAGCCCAGGAGGAAAGCCCACCCTAAGGCAGACATATCTCCTTGATGATTGGCTGGAGGTGGGACTCAACAGGGTATACCAATTTGAATATCCCCACCACTGGGGGTCTGCAAACACTTCCCTGAAGGTTTAGTCTCTGTCGTGCTTTACCCTTTCATTTCTAGATGTATAAAAGCATTTGTAGGTTTACAGCTGAAAGCAGGTGATGAAGACCAGGGCTGCATATCTGAGGGTTGCCCCACCTTTTCAGAGGGGCTGGAAGGTGGTGGAAAAGGCAACTTCTTGGCCAGATAAAGCATGAGGCACTGAGAAGCGCTCTCAAGTCTGGAGATAAAACTCTCTGGATGAGCACAGAATGACTGCTGGGAAGAACGAGCTCCCAGAGGGGCAGGTAAAATCCTTCAACACAGCAACAGCAGCGTTGGATGCCGCCTGCTGCGAAGCCTCACCCTGCAGGGCCGAGAGGCTGCATGTCTTTTTTATGGCCCTTTAGAGACACATCTCTCTCTGCTCTATTTTATTCAGCCTATATTTAAACTTCTCCCTCCGTATGTCCACTCGACCCAGTGACGCAGAAGTCTGCCGACTCCTTTGAATCCCCCGGCAGCATCCTGCGTTTGCTGGGGCAGTGCTGCTGGCTGGGTTTACCTCCTAGGGACCAAATTGCAAGGATAAATAAAAGCAGCCACCAAAGCAGCAGCAAATCCAACTTTGCAAGGGCTCCTGGTGACAACTGCTCAGCTTGTGTGGCTTGTGGCTAACACAGTGTGAGCGGACGAATATTAATGCGAAAGGGTATTTTTATACCCCTCTGTGTGAAGGGCTTTTCGCCTCACCTCATCTAAGGAACACATTACAAGTGCTTTGAAGCTAAACTCTGTTTTGGCTACGGCAGAAGCTTGCTGCTGTGGTGATGGAGCCACATTAATGGGTGCAACCCAGGTGACAGGATACTCACAGCCAGCATCAGTGATGCGAGGAGGGCAGTGGTCCCCACCCGCAGCATCTTTGCAGTAGAGGGGACCACAAATGATTGCTCCCAGCCACCTACTTGCTGTGCTGAGCTCAGTCACTTTCTCTTTGCCTGCTGCAAGAGAAGCTGCACTAAGAAAACCCCCAGTTCTCCCTCTACATGCCCCAGATCAGTCTCCTGTAACCACTGGATGGCACTTCACCCTTCTGCCACCCTTCTCTCCTTCTTCCTCCAGCAGGAATAGACCTAAACCTAGGTTTTAGTATTTTTACACTCTCTCACTTGTCCTCTTCTGTCGTTTAGGAACTGCAAAACCAGCCAGAGACATGCCCTCCCTGCAGCCTGTGCTGACCCACGGTCCCTCCCTGGGAGAAGGGTGAGCGCACAAGAAAGATGCTGCAGGCTGAAAACTGGAAGATCCGACTTTATTCGCTAGATTCTTGCCCAGAAGGGAACCCTCACCCGCCCAGTCCCTCTGTGTCCAGACCCTGCCCCATCTGCATGTGCGATAGATGGGGGAAAGCTCAGCCCACCTTAGCACAGCACAGGATGCTACAGCCAGTGTGGAAAGGCTGCTGGGGACGGTGACTTACTCCAGGAGCTTGAACCCAGGGTAGAAAAGGGGATCTGACCTAAGGACAGCAGTGATGGTGTTTTGCTTCTGGCCTGACACATCAGACATGTTTGCAGAGCAGGGAAACACAGAACAGATGAGGAGGAAGCAGAAGCTGGTGCTCTGTGTCTGCAAGGGTGGGTGTAATAGTATTTTTGTAACTCCCAGCCATTATCCTCTCAATGGCATTTTCCCCCCTCCATAGACCTCAGCAATTCAAGGGCGTCTCAGGGAAGTTGTGGCTGTTTTAGTGAAGCACAGAGCATTTCACCTCCAGAAAAAAAAGGGGTTCATCAACCTCCTGAGCACAAGGCTTGCACGGAGCCCTCCGCCAAGGAATGCAATACCTTGTGAAAGTTTTTTTGCAGATGACACTGAGACAGACCTTGAGAAACAATTACCTCTGTGCAATGAAAAAAAAACAAGAGTCCCCCTGCTTATTCCTTTAATTTCCTGGCTGGTTTCTGGTGGAAACAGATTAAAAATGGAATTTCCCACAGACGGGGCTGTCAAGGTTGGCATGAATGCACAGGGATGGTGCACAGGATGCTCCACTCTACCCATGCTCTTGCAGGTTGTCTCCTGCTCCCCTGGACAAGCCCCAGAAATAGGAACAGAGTAAATGGCAAGTTCCCCAGCTCTTCCCCACCGGAGAGAGCTGAAAGCTGGGCACGCCTGGCCCCTTGGTATCTGCTTTCATTCATCTGGTTCTACAGCAGACAGGGAATCAAAATCAACCTTACAGCTGCTCCAGCAAATCCCCAGCTGGGATCCAGTAGCACTGTTAAGAGACGTGGGTGAAGCCATTGGCTTTTCCCAGAGTTGAGGGTCTGGAATAATCATTTTTTTTTTCCCTTTCCTGCAGTCCCTGTTGTGAAGGGATGGGGGAAGGCAGCATAACAGAAGAAGTTGCTTGAAATGGTCTGTAAAACATCTGGGAAGGGGAATCCAGGAGCTCTGATCACAACCCGAGCTCAGGCAAAGGGCTGCTGGGGATTTTGGGTAGCCAAATTCCCAAATTTGCTTTTACAGATCTAAGCAATCCTGGCCTCTTAGTCCTGAGTGTGTTTTAAGCTTTCCAGTAATACAACCCAGCTCAACCCATGAAGGCTGAGCCCTTCTGAACTCATTCCATAGCTTATTCTAGTCAGAACTAAGTGCCAGCTCTCTCCAATTGCAATTTACGTTCTGCTGGGCAGATAGTGAGAGGAGACCAACATCCATCTGCTGCTCTAACTCAGGAGATGGCACAAAAAGTGCTAACAAACCAAACCTCTGATGGAGGGTTGTAGAAATTTTTTGGGGTTGTGCACAGGAATATAGTAGAGGCTCACAGACACAGGTTGTGTGGGAGCTTGAGGAGACCTGGGAAAAAAAGCCCTATCCACATCCAGTGTGAATACAGCCCCTGGTCTTGCTGAGGGTGATGCTACAGCACCATCCTTGATGGCATTGCCCAGGCCCCCCGTGCTGTGCAGAGCTGTGGCACTTCTTCCACTACTGCTCCCCACAGAGGAAAGCTGTACAGGGAGATGTGGGTCCTGGGGGCCAGAAGCAGCTGAAGGTGAGGAACATCTGCTTAGTGACTGGAAACTGGAAATTTGAGGGGTTTAGGTCCAGGTGCCCAAAGTCTTGGCTTGAATCCACAGCACTGAAGATGAGTGAAGCCACACATCAGCGAAGAAGGTGATTCCCAAGGCATCTAAGAGTTCACAAGGCAGCTTGGCAGAGAGAGGAGTGAGGATGTTTTGGCTGGAGCATAGGCACTTGCAGTGTTACAGAGCGCACCGGAGGAGCGTGCCAATGGCCATGGCCATCAGACCCAGTGTTGAAGAGCTCCTTCCCACCCCACTGATGGTCCTGGTGTTGTCAGTGCAGAGGTCAGTGTAGCAGCATGACTTGGGTCTGGAATCCCCAATCCCGTTATAGGAGATGCATTCCTCCTCACAGCTTCTGGTCACGGTGATGTTGCCGAAAAAGGGATAACCTGAAACAAGCAGATTGGAGAAGGGGAGAAGAAGACAGAGAAAGGGATGGTGAAGGAAGGTGCAGACATCTGGCATCAAGAAACGCTGACTTTGTGCAATGGCAGTTAAAATTAAAGTGTTTATAAGTAAATGAAGGTAAATAAGGTGTTGAGCATCTATAATTCATGGATGCCCAAGACCTACTGCTCTTTGTAGGTCTGTTGGTTCTCCCTGCTGCTCCTAAACTTATTCCAGCATGGACAAGGGACACAAGTCTGCATAGAAAGTGGCAGTGCCAAGAAGCACTGGTGTAGTGTTGGCATGGGCGTTGCTGAGATGGTGCTAGGTGAAAGTGACTACAAATGAGGAGAGACCTCCTGGGTTTCTGCGATATATTCACATGTATCTATTATTTCAGGGTCTGTAAAGGCATTCATGTAGGAAAGGTGAAACAGATAGAGTAAGCAGGATGAGTCCTGTATGCTTCACTCTGAGGCTCTGAATCTGATGGCTTTATCTCCTTCCCACTCGTAAGTTGGATCATTCCACCAGGTTTCTTAAAGTGAAGTTAAAGGATAATCCAAGCTGGGACTGGGAAGGGGAGAGGGAAGCATGGGCAACAGGTTGAGGGAGGGGATTCTTCTCTGCTGCTCCACTCTGGAGTCCTCAGCCCAGGAGAGACATGGACTAGTTGGAGTGGGTCCAGAGGAGGCCACTGATATGGTCTGAGAGCTGGAGCCCCTTTGCTGTGAGGACAGGCTGAGAGGGTTGGGGTCGTTCAGCCTGGAGAAGAGAAGGCTCTGGAGAGACCTTATTGCAGCCTTTCAGTACTTAAAGGGAGCTTATAAGAAAGATGGGGACCAACTTTTTAGTAGACCCTTTAGCAATAGGACAAAGGGTAATGGTTTTAAACTGAAATAAGGTAGATTTAGATTAGGAAGAAATTATTTGCTGTGAGGATGGTGAGACACTGCCCTAGGTTGTCCAGAGGGGAGGTGGATGCCTCATCCCTGGAAACATTCCAGGTCAGGTTGGATGGGGCTCTGAGCAACCCGAACTAGTTGAAGATGTCCCTGTTCATAGCAAGGGGGGTTGGACTAGATGGTCTTTGAAGATCCTTTCCAACCCAAACCAATCCATGATTTTATGATTTTAAGTTCATGAGGTAATTTGGCCCACAATGGATACATCTCACGAGCACTCACAATGAGCAAATAAACTTACCTGTCTCTAAGGAGTGCAGCGTTGTTGTGCACACGGTGGCTTTTGGGGGGCACAGGGTGACTGTCCTGCACTCAGCGATGTCCGTTGGTTCCTTGCACGTGTAACATCGTAAGCACTGGGCTGCAGAGAACAACAGAATGGATGTGAGGTGTTTGCAGCAGCAAAGACAGACAGCAGGTCTGCAACTTCTCTGCTCTCTGGTGGGGACGATGGGATGGTCAGCGCTTCATCCCCCCCTTGACCAAGACACAGTGGCCTCAGAAACAAAGCACAGCTGGAGGCAGCAGCAAAGCTTGGACGTATCAGGGGGGAAAAACCAAACTGCAACGCCAAAGGGCAACGATGGTGCTGTAGGAGTTCAGCACAGTCATTACTTTGGGGGGCTCAGCAGCCCCAAACCAGCAGGGAACTAGAGAGACCTATTATTTCACTGAATTTCACTGAATTTTTTAGAGTTTGCGCAGCTTTGATAGGCTCTTTGCATCCTCCGTAAGAGATGCTGTAGCAGAGAGAAAAATAGCTCCTTCTGTTGAGAGCAGCATTCACCAGCACCGAAAGACTGGCAGTTCCCCCATCCCTCTACCCACAATGACAGCTCCTTCATGCTTGTTTAGAGGGATTTGTGCAGAACTTGGTAACCGAGAGCAGGATTTAAATTTCAGAGCTGCACCAGAGATCGCAAGGGCTGAACGTGGCCTAAAAAAACACTTTCATCAGGGGTTATTGCTGCTTTTTGAAAGAAATGATGCCACAGAGCTCTTGCTGGCTGCCTGCCGACACAGGGACACTTCTACACACGCCAGGCGTTGACCACAGCAGTTGCTCAAAAGTCTCAGTACAAGAGCTGTACATCCACAGCCAGCAGATACCGAGTGTGCATATTTTTCGGAGTCATGCTGGTGTGACTTGATGACAGAAACCAGCCTGGCTTGGTATTTTCTATTCTACGTGCCTTCTGCACACACACACACACACACACACGGCAGCTGTAAGAACCACCCAAAAGTGTCCACTGCCATCTATTGGTAAACTTGTAGAAAGACGATGTTCTCCTATTAAAATTTTGCAGCATCTGCCCTGAGAGAGAAACTTCTGGGACTTTGTGATAAGGACAAACATTTTTGAAAGTAGTTGTTTGAACGTCTGGCTCTGGAATGAATTTTCAGGGCATCTACTTCTATTAAATCCTCCTTTGGAAAATTCAACTGTGCAATAAAGCCTACATTATGAGAAAGCTTTCTTTATTCTCTTTGCAGAGTTAGGAAGGGCTTTTTAATGTGAGCAGTGATGGTGTTCTGGTGGCCATACCCTTTCTGTGGTGGAGCTGTCCCTGTTTACCCGAGCTCAGGACCTTTGTAGGTCCCTTCCAAATGGCCCGTGAGAGCTTGCTTTATATTTTAACACATAGTGCCCACCGAGAGAGAAAATACAACATTGTCAACCTGACAAGGAAAAGGACGTTTGTGAGTGTGTAGGAAAGGCTAATGAATGGATGAAGCTATGCTAGCTTGAAGCATCTGAGAAACTGATCTTTGGGTTGAGCTGGTTTCCAAACCTCACCATTTCCATGAGTGAGCAGGGCAGTGCCATGGGCTCTGGGCAGGGGGGGTACTTCCAGTTAAGAGGAGGTTTAAGGAAGAAAACCCTCAGCCCCCTTATCTTTCACTGACTCCGGATGCGGTACTCAGAGGACATTGGTTTTATCAGAAGGTTGCAGTGGAAGAGGAAAGCCCAAAAGCATAAGGACCAGAAGAGAAGAGAAGAAGTGAATATAGAGGACAGTGCTGTGTCCTGATTTGAGGCCAATAATTCACTGTTCATCACTGTCAAACACTGTCTTTCTGCCCCTTGATATCACAACTCTGGAAGAAAAATGGTCAGAGACATATTCCTCAGCTGCAAGAGCTGTGCCTAGAACAGCTGCCTCCCACTGAATCATCCCAGAAAAGCCATTTCTGCCTCCATCTCAGCTATAAAGCAAAGGGTGGTGATGCCTCTCGGTTTTTAGAAAGTACTCTGAGACCTGTGAGTGGAAACCTGCTCTGTCAGTTCCTCACCAACCCCATTAAATCCAGGACAGGACTAGAACCAGAAGGAGGAAAAGAAACACATAATACACAACCTGAGAAACATCTTAAAATAAAGAAAAATCCCCAGCAGGTACTGAAATGTAAAAAATTGCAGTAGCTGTATAGAAGGAACAACACCTGTCCTGGTTCAGTCCTGTGGTGGGCTTGACCCATGTTCTTCAGCCAGCAGTTGGGTTTGTTTTAGAGACAGGTGGAAGGAATAATGAGGATAGGGGAATTAGAAAAAGCAATGCAGCCTGAAGAGACCCAAAACTCTTCCATGCATAAAGATTTGCAAGGTGTATGCCTTTCAGCCGCCTTCTGCTTGCAACCCTTTGAATGATCTCCATGTAGCTGTGACTCCAGATGGAGGTGTTCAACCACTGCTGAGGCTGCCTTTCCTCTGAAATCTTTCAGAGTCCCATGAAAGCAGCCTGAAGATCTCTGGGGCCCATGGGTTGTCAGTTAAAACCCACCGGGTTGGTGTCACCCCAAGGATGACTCTGTTCCAGGCCAAGGATGTATTTGCAGTGGATCACAAATAGATGGAGTAAGAACACAGCAATGACCAGACTCTGCTATCAGCTTGCCCAAAACCCAGACTCATCAGAGACCAAACCCAAACAGACCCAGCAGAATTTCCCATCTCCCTCTATACCCTAATCTCTAGAAATAAGTGAAAACACCGGAGCTGGTGTTTTAATGAACCCTTCCAAAATCTTTGCAGTTATTTCTCAAATCCTCACCTGTATCTATACAGAAGCCTCACCTTCTGGTTTTCAGAGCTTCCAGCAGGGAAAGCTGGGAGGTTTTAGAGGTGGCAGGAGCTAAGGATGGACATCCCCCATCCCATTCCCGAGGGGAGAAGGTGGCAGCTTAAGAGCTTGTACTGCCCTGTGCCATGTGGCATTCTGTCCTTCACACCTTAGTCTTATAAAGCAGCTGTTGGTCCCTTCCACCCCAGTTGGGAGACAGGTGAGGTGACCACCTACGCACCCAAACCACGTCCGTTGCTCTCCGTCAGGCATCACGTCTTTTCCCCACCAGGAATGCATCTCCCTTTTTCCCATTCACTCTCTCTGATGACCTTCTTAAATAAATAAAGGCATCATCTCCCCTACCTGGGGAATACCAGGTCTTTCATCATTGGTGCCTTTCCCCTTCCTTCCCCTCCCTGGCATTTCCCAGGGGGTCCCTGCAGTGTCAGGAATGCAGCGGTCTTACCCAAATCCACGAATGCCAGTCCAAGCAGGACCCCAACCAGAAGTGTCTTCATGCTGAGAGCAGATCTGTGAAGCCAGGACAGTAAAGGAGAGCTGCTCCCAGGGAGCTTTATATGTTTTCCCACCCTCCACCTCCTGTTGATGCTGTGGGCGGATTCCCTCGGGGTGTCAGGGGAGAGCTCAGCTCCAGTCTGGATTGGGATTTGCAGAGGAACAAGTTCTCCAAGGAGGTGACATCACTGCAAGGAGCAGACTCCTGCCATACGTCATCTCTTCTTCAGGTTTATGTCCTGGGGCTGGTCCCATGGAAAAGGAAAAACACAGCTTCCACTGCAAGGGCTGGCCCCACGCTGGTGTTTGGATGGGGAATGCGACAAGGTATGTTTGTTTCTTCAAGTCTGGCTCCGTGAGCCAAGAGCTGGGTTGTGTCAGGCGTGTTGTGTTGGGCAACAGCAGCCCCGATGCAAGCGGGAGCAGGCTGGGCTTCCACGCATGTTGGCTCAGCCTCACTGAAGCCTGTGCCATGTTTTCACATCTACTGGTCTCCAGGCTGCCAGGCAGGAAGCTGGCACAGCTGGATTTGCCCAAAGCACGTCTCTTTTCCCAAATCCATTGCAAAAGCAAACCCGGTTTCTGGCTCCCAAGGGCTGGGTTAGTAACTGAGTCCTGATGCTGAGCTCCTGGGCATGAGATCCCTGAAAGGGTGGAGGTCAGCATGGGAGATGGTGCCTCCAAATCTGGGATTTGGGTATGTCGTTTTGTTTCAGATCCTGGGTCATGCTGACAGAGAAGGGTGCTGTGCCTTCTTTTATAAATAAAAGTGTCAACTGTTTTCCAAATTTTATTCTGAAGAAGGGAAAAAAAATCCAACATGGAAAAATAGATCAATTTTCCCACTGCAGTACCTTTCTGATAGAAAACTTCACTTCATATATTTCAAGACAACCCTTTCAAAGAGAATAACTTTTTAAAATCTTACATGATATTTGTAGAAACTGCTTAAAAAGCATGCAGTTAGGAAGGAATGCTTTGCTCCCCCCTTTTGACTGAACCAATGGTGTTTTATATTTCATAGGAAAAATTGATAGACTTTTTGTTGGTTTTGCTGCGATCCAGGGTGGAAAAAAACAGCATTATGCAATTTCCCATAAAAGAGCTGAATAAGCCAAAGAAGAAAAGTTTGTGAATCACTGCAAAGCACTCGGAGACTTCAAGGATAGAGAAAAGGTGTGTGCACAAAATGATCTAACATCCGGGGGTTTGCTTGTCACAGTCTCAATGCACGTGGGCATTGCTACCATTCCCAGTTTAAGACTGGGACTTTTGGGGAAAGTGTTGCACCCTAAAGGGTTTGCAGTAACTCGAGAAGTGTTGCTAATGAAAATTTCCACAGTTGGGGATGACACGAAGCCGACCAAGCTGAGGCAGCAGGATCAGTGCTGCGCTGTGGGAAAGGGAGGGGAAGACACGCACCCTAATGCTCGCTTGGCTGTGAGAGGGAAAATAATCATTATTTTATCTTTCTGTGCTACCAGAGAGCAGGCATGTAAAAACAAACAGCACAAACGTACCTCTCTGTGTATAGACGAAAAACTCCTCTCGGTGAAAGCCACCAGACCTGGTTACATCCAGCTCCTTTCTTGTATCTGGGCAGTTCAAGGCACATTTGAGTGGTATCTTAATTAATATGAAACTGAAAATGATCCAGTGCTTTAAACATTGAAGGTGGTTGTGCCTGTGTAGGTAAGGACAGCAGGATTGGCACTCCAGCGTTCCCAACACTAAAACACCACTTGGCAAATTGTGTGGAGCTTGGTGAAATGGAGATGTCCACACAAGGGTGTTATAATGGTCTGCCTGCACTTGAAAGGCATCATGTACTGAGAAATCCTTGGAATAAATCAGTGTGGTTGAAGGAATAGTTATATAAATAGGAAAATAAAGCAGTCTATCTGGCTTGGTGGGGGCTGTCCACCACTGTGGTGACTGGACATGGGATGCATCAGCACAGTAGGGATGTTTGGCCCTGGCCAGTGGGCTTGGTGGGGGCTGTCCACCACTGTGGTGTCTGGATATGGGATGCATCAGCACATTAGGGATGTTTGGCCCTGGCCCTGGCCAGTGCAGTGCAAAACTGAGGGATATGGTGTAGGGGAGGACTTTGTAGAGTAGGGTAGATGTTTGGACTCGATGATCCCAAGGGTCTCTTCCAACCTCAATGATTCTATTCTATTCTAAACCACTTAACTAATGGCTTGAAAAGGGTTGAGATCTGGTTGTTAAGGCAGAGCATTGGGAGACCACCAGCGCTAGGGTTGTTAAAGCTCCTGCAGACTGGCTGAGTGTGCAGGAGTACCAGACTTCAGGGAGGGAGAAGTTGGGAGTGTGCCAGTAAAATTGTGGAGGAAAGGGAAGACCTACAGGTATCAGTTGATCTAAAGATAACTAGGAGCCTCCGGTGAGATTGAGCCCTGAAAACAAAAACAAAACCACACACAGACAAATACAGAGGATGTCAAGTTGCGTGTTGGTGTGTAAGGGAGGCTGTTAGCAGGGTTAATATGGAAGTGCCAGCACCCTGGCATGAAGCCTTGGTGGCTTCTCACCTGGAATTTCATTGCCCCTGTCAAGAAAAAATGGGGTCCTGATGGAAAAAACCCAAACAAAAAAACAGATGGAAACTAATGTGGGGAAGACTGGGAGAACAGGATCCACCCCAAAAGACGACACTGGAAAATACCGTCCCCTTTTAGTTTGGCAGAAGAGAGGCTGAGTGGAGATACAATTTTTTTCCCCCAGAAGTACATTGAAAACTCAAGAGAGGCTGAGTGGAGATACAATTTTTTTTCCCCCAGAAGAACCTTGAAAACTTTGAAAACAGAGCTACAGAAAAGCAAAAAACCTCCTTAAGCTAAAATGTCACACTGGACTAGAACTGAATTAAGAGTAACACGAGTTAAATTGCAGTGGAAACCAAAGGTAGGGTCTTAAACTCTAAGAAAAATTAGGACCCTTCTAAAAGCAAAGGTAGAGTAGAAATCCCCCCTGCTTTAAGATGGAAGAAGTGAAAGAAGTGGTTTGGTGTAGCAGACAGGACAGCCTTAGACAGCTCGTAGTACTCAAGAGGACCTAAACTCCCATCTGTCTGTGTCAGTAGTAGAATAAACCCTGAGCAAGGTTTTGAACACTGACTGACAGGAGCCATAAGGGACTCCAGTTGAAATGTCATTTCAGGTCTGAAGATCTGAGAATATAAATGAGGTGTGGTGTGGAGGGAGAAAGGCTTCTGTGCCAAAAGCCTCTCTGAATTTTCAGTGGTATCAATCCAAACCCACTATCAGCTTGCCCCTGTGAGACTGGCCTTACTTATAAAGTAATCTTGGTAGATATAATCTTTCTCTGCTGATCACATATGCAAGGAAAGGCAGACAACAGAAACTCAGTGTTCACAGGCAAGAAGGTGATGTGCTTTATAACTATCTGATCTAACTTCCTTTTACAGTTAAATTCTTGTTTGAATGAAAAAGAAACCAAATTTTGTAGAAATGTCCTGTGACAGGGAGTCTGCACTGAGGTCTGATAAGCTGTTCCAGTGGTCAGTTAACAGCCACGTGTAAAATAACCCCTGGGTAAAATATTTCTACTCTGATTTATACAGTTTCTGCAGCCAGTGGTTCTCATTACAGACCTCTACTGATCTTAATTGCTTATGCAACTTCCTTCTCTTCCATGGAGATGCAGATTGTCTAGGATATCCCTTTGATAGACTTTGGTGGGCTCTTTGACTCTCTTCTTGGAAAGTCTGCTGTCCAGAACTTTAACCCTTCCAGTGATCCTTCTTCAAACTGCTTCTGATTTACCACCTTCTCTCCTGCATTGCCCAACCCAGAACTAGGTGTTGTCTTGTAGCAACAGCCACTCCAGTTTGAGGTATAAGCAGAATGTATCCTTCTGTCATGAGATGAGTATGAAACAACTGTGTTTGACACTGTGGCCATGGCATTGTAGCTGTGGCATCAGTCTACCTGATGTCAATGCCTTTCTTGGTAGCTGCTTCTCAGCGTGGAGTATGCCATTAGGTTTCCAGATAGCATGGTGATGGCTGGAGTATAGGAGAACAGAGAGACTACTCATGAGAATATTGAGTCAACCTGAGTTCAGTTTCTGTGATTCAGGTAGGGTAGATTTTTGCTGGGGACCGTCTGCTCTGCCATCTTCACCTGTTACTCAGCAGTGGGAAGCTATGCTGTTCGTGACCATGGCTGCGGTGATGTTTGGTGACGTGTTCAGCCAATCGAAGCTCCCACCTTTCACGGGTGTGCGCTAATAACAAGACTATAGGCTTGTTGGGGTGGAGTTGCTCTCCACCCTCCTGATGAAACTCTGCCACTGGGCAGAAAGGAATGCAGGTTTCATTGGTCTGGAGAAGGGTGAAAGTGTGAGCATGACTCAGTGAGACCCTTCTGCTCAGAGATCTCCAGGTCTTCCATGGGCTGTTTGATACAAAACACAAGTGTCTCCACATAGGGGAGTATCAGAGAGAATCTGGAGTCCCAGAGCTGACTCAGTTAATCTGTAAAGACCTCTTGCCCCTTTCTTGCCACATCTGTGCTTCATTTTGGTGGTTTGCACACCCTATCTGAACATTTGAGATGGGAACTTGAACCTCCCCAAGCAGAGAAGGAAATTTCATTCACATGTCCCAAGTTCTGGTTTAAGCACACTAACCTCTAGGCTAAAAAGCAGGTGCACTTCTGCAAGATGGGAGGAAAATTTCCACCCCTGCTGTGTTTTCAGAAAAAGAAATGATCTCTGTTCAGCACTGAGAAAAATAAGGGAGTTCAGGGACATGGACTCTACATCTGCTAGTTCCTCTTCTTCTAGCTGCAGGACAATTCCTTCAGGCATCACCTCGCCAGCTCTGCTTGGTCATCCCTGGGAATGTAGCTCTCCCAGGCGTTTGCAGAGGGCATGCAAAGTGTCTGATGTGTTTTTGGGCTGCATCCCAGAAGGATGGATATCTACAAGTTAGGCACTTTAGGGATCTTTTAACCTGTACCCGTCCTACTATGAACTTGACGAGCGCATAGGATGTGTGGCAGTTTGTATGCTCCTTGGCCCTGTTATGGCCTGAACCCACTGGATTGTCCCAGGCAGTGCCCAGGCACACTCTGAAGCACAGCATGGGCCAAAGATGTTTCCCATGAGGCCATTAAGTTTCTGGCGAATAAGAAAATTCAGCCATGTCAAAATGAACTGTGCCGGTTGCC